ACACGCGGCACGGCCAAGAAGGAGGAGGGCGGCGGCTGCTCTCCCCCGGAGACGATCGATAACCCCTATGTCTCTCTCGAGTGCTTCATCTTCCTCTGACGCCTTCTCTCTCTAATTTCCCTTTTTCTTTCTTTGGTTCCTGTGAATCTCTGACCGCCATTCGCGGTGTAGTTCTTGACTTGAGAGCCGCCTTTTTGTAAATGAACCCCTATGTGTACCAATCTGTAGCTGATTTAATCTAATCGTTTATTTCTAGGGACAGTCATGAATTTTTTTTTTAAAAAATGCAATATAAATGCAAATTTCGAAATCTATATTCAATATATTCACATCCATGAAATATTTATGAAAATTTACGAAATGATTGTGTGTGAAGTTTACATATTTTGGTAGAAATTTCACAATTTATGTATTTTTTTCGAAAGTATATGTTTTTAGGCATGCGGCAGCAAGCAACTCTCCGCCGCTGCTTTCGCTCCCTCTATTTTTGCTGCCTCTTTTGAAATAAAATGTCCAAAATTTGATTTTATATATTAAATTTTAATATTTTTAACATACTGTACAGTCTATTGCTTGTCCCAATATTTTTAACCCTCTGAAAATATATTCTTTTTATATAAACTGTCCCAATTTCGTTATTTTTGGGAATTTTTTTATCCGGAAACTGAAAAACAGAGTAACACCAGATTGAAATAAGAGCATAATAGACACGTGCATTTTTTAAAAAAAATAACAATTTTGGAGCCAACCCTAGCACGTGTGAAGAGAAGAACAATATCATTATCATCCATAAGACATGAAAACGATAATTAACAAAATAGATAAAACCAGCAACTTTTGGACCGATTGTAATATTAAGCCTAACACACCCCCAAGATTGGGTCTATAATTCCAATTCTCTGATGATCCATAGTTTTGAAATTATTCGGATTGTTCCCACTCTTTTAAAATATATCGTTGAAATTTGTTTGAATGTCGTAACAAGTATTTTTTTTTTATAAATCGAAACTGTTAATACGTATAAACTTTTCAATCATCATTTCTTTAAATAACTTCGAAAGTTTACTAATTTTTTAATCCAACTAGTTTTAGAGAAATCTATGTAAATGTCTCTTCCAAATAAAGATTCGAACATGGGTTGAAACTTGAAAACAACCTTCATTTTATTATAATAGTTGAACCACTTATCAATCGGTTAAAATCTTGGTCACTTTCGTACAATCTTCTCACAAGAACGTATTTCAGACTAATCTCATACTTGATCGATCTTATCATAATGAACACTCGAAAGAACAATACACTCCCATCGTGAACCCATCCAAGCATGCACCTCAACACTCCAAATGCAGCTTCAGCATATTGTGGAACCCAAATGTGCATAAAAGAACTCTTATCCTATGTTCAAATCCAAACGAGGAAAAAAAATATGCGTAAAAGGTTCTTTGTTGGTGGAGTTACTGAGCTTCGAGGAGGCCACACCAAACACATTACATGATCCAATCGTATAGGCAAACAGGAAAGATGGGTCATAACTTAACATCGCATAATGCACATGGCCCGTTAAATCGTGACCGCTCAACCCAACAGAACTGGGAAACGTGTCAGAATCTGGGCGAGCCCCTCCTTCCCAACACGGAGCAAGAAAAGATCCCATTTGTCGAGAGCTTCGTTTGTTTTCCACCGGAATTGTGGATAAGCTCTCTCCTGTCCTCTCTCTCCCTTTCAACTGAACAACGATCCCTCTGGCTATGGCATTCGTTTGGCGTCTTATTTAGCCAAAAAAAATCCCCACTTTTTTTTTTCGTTCTGTAATTCCTTCTAACTCGGATTGTTCATCCTCAGCAGATGGCTGCTCTCGCTTCTCTCTCGTTGCCGGCGATGGGCCAATCGGAGAAGAGAGCTGCTTTCGTCCCTTCTCGCCCTCTCCCTTCAATCTCCCTCTCCCGGAGCCTTTCCTGCCGATCTTCCCGCCTCGTCGTCCGCTGCATGTCCACCGTTTCCGGTCAGTTTCTCTTTCTCTCCCTCTAGGGCTTCTATTCAACTCTGCACATCTTCTCGTCTTTCTTACGATTTGCGTCTGGTCGGTCCCATTCATTATCTGGAGATTCCGACTGAAAAGGTCTCGACTTTATCTGCGCATTTCTCCTGTAAGCTCAAATCATTTGTGCCCAGAAGAGTAACTGAAACTCTTTGGAGATTTATCAATCAATCTCATAGGGAAGAAAATGAAGAATGGGAATTCTTCTTCTTGCTCCATTGCGGAAATTACTTTCCTGCTATCTTTCCTTGTCATTCATTCGTCCCATGGCTTGTATTGGATTGCCAGATGTACCGACCGTATCTGAGACAAAGTCAAATTTCTTACAAGCCTACAAGCGGCCAATCCCCAGCATCTACAACACCGTTCTGCAGGAGCTCATTGTGCAGCAGCATTTGATGAGGTACAAGAAGACTTACCGTTATGACCCGGTTTTCGCCCTGGGCTTTGTCACCGTATATGATCAGCTCATGGAAGGATATCCGAGCGATGAGGACCGAGATGCCATTTTCAAATCATACATAAAGGCACTGAATGAGGATCCTGAGCAATACCGGTTAGCTTCCTTGCCGTCCTGTCTTTATAGATACGATCTGTTGCATAGGTTCTTTATGAAGAAAAGCACATGACCTTTCTCTTCACAGGATTGATGCGCAAAAGATGGAGGAATGGGCCAGGAGTCAAACTTCTGCTTCACTAGTTGAGTTTTCCTCTAGGGAAGGAGAGGTGGAAGCAATCTTGAAGGATATCGCGGAAAGAGCTGGGAGCAAAGAGGGATTCAGTTACAGCAGGTTCTTCGCCGTCGGGCTGTTTCGTTTGCTTGAGCTTGCAAACGCAACTGAACCGAATATCTTGGACAAGGTGACAACACCCTTTATTTGTTGCGACATCTTTAAGCTCTGCAATAACTTTGCATCAGATGAGTGATCAACTGATCTAGAGGAAGCCATATTAGCCAGTTATTGCTATCGATTTGTCTTCTTTGTCGTATCGGGTTCATCTTAGAGTATGTCCGTTCGAGTGGTCTGCACCTTACCCGATTCAAAGTCAAAACCTTTTTTTTACGCGGAAGAATGTTTTTCCGTCCCTAAGAGTTTGTGTTTGATCTCTGCGTCTCGTGCACCAGCTTTGTGCATCGTTAAACATTGACAAGAAGAGCGTGGACCGGGACCTTGACGTGTACCGCAACCTGCTATCGAAGCTTGTCCAGGCCAAGGAGTTGCTCAAGGAGTATATTGATAGGTATTGAATTGATGACAAAACCCTCTCTACCTCTGAGTACCTAGACAGATCCTGGATCCAGTATGCCGAATTTAAGACACTGAAATGTAAATGTTAGGAAGGTTTGAACTATATAACTGTCCCGGCAAACATTTTTCGGGTGCCATGGATTTCACTCTGGATATCTTCTTGCTTTTGGTTGCTCACCAGGGAGAAGAAAAAGAAAGAGGAAAGGGCGGAATCACAGAAAGCAAACGAAACGATCACCAAGTGTTTGGGGGAAAGCTTATACGATCCATCCGTGTTTGTTACATGGAAATACTAATCAGACAATCTGTGCAACTCCTGTTCTTATTTTCAGCAACTGTTTGACTGCACTGGGTTCTGTCTATCTGTTGCTTTTTATTTTTATTTTTATTTTTTTTAATTTTATTTTTGACATTGGACAAAGTTTCCTTGTTGAGTTTCGTATCTGCAAATGTCAGGTTATCTATATAGAGCTCCAACCCTTTTGGATTCATACACAAGAAAGTTGCAGCCTCTCAGAGAGGATGAAGATGACATGCTTTTTTTTCTATAACTGAATAACTCGAACCGAATACCGAAACATCCATTCCTACCGGTTATTCTCCAAATTTATACAGTCTATAGTTTAAAAAGATTTCGATTATTTTTTTGGGATTCAGCTCGAATTTGGAAAGGATTTTTCGGTTTTAAAAAAATTGTTATTCGTTTGAATTTGGTTAACCGTTATTCGGTTCAATGGAATTTGTTATTATTAATCAGATAAGCGATCCATGCTTATATCCGTTCCCTTGTCGGGCCGCCAATTTTAATTTCCAAGATATATAAATGGGCCAGCCCATCAGCTACCATCTTTGACTTTGACCTGCATCCATGGCATGATATGTCATGGCGGATAAAATAGCTCCGTTCCATGACCATGACGTTACATTTTTACTACACCACAAACGCCTTGCCACGTCACCCCTTTTTTTTTTGTTGTCCTTATGATGAATGACATTTGAGTCCACATAAAATAATGTGTGTACATACATACGTTTTCCCCCACAGCAAGTTTATTGTGGAGAAATATTTTATTTGGAAATTCAAAGTTTGTTGGTGCAGCTTTCCACCAAAAATTTAACAGATAGGCATAAATACCCATTTTAAAATTGAATTATTGGATTCGAATACAACGTGGATAATAAAATCATTTTTAAAATAGTCTGGATTTGATTCTAGTGATGGAAAGGAATATAATTTCTGGATCAAAATGATCTATATACAAAGATTGGTCTCACGTTTAGGTGGATACAGTCGAATTAAGTTCTAGAAAACTAATCTGATTATAAAGAAAATAAACTTCGCATGCTATCAATGTTTATTTATTTATTTTACAAATTCCACGTGTGATGAAAACGGCATGTTTTATGGGTTTTGCCAAGATTATTAGACCGTTTCGAGAATTGGGCTACGTGTCTAGAGACCTTGCCATATGCCATGTGTCGCATTTTGAAATGATGTCATAACATGATTAGCCAAAAAAAAAAGAAACGAAATGCATTGCTTGCGCATTTAGTTGATGCAACTACCTTCACCACCCTTATGTCTCTAACCTTTGAAAATCATGTGGCCATATCGCAAAGTCAATCCCTATGTAAAAAAATATTCGTTTACTTTAAACCCCATTTTCACCCTTTTCATGCAAAGTCAATCTCTATGCAAAGTATACCATCCTATATATATATATATATAAAGGGGGGGGGGCATATATACCATTTGATCTCATACATACACATATATATACACATATACATATTGATCCAACAAATTAATAAAGATGGGAAGATCACCTTGCTGTGGCAAAAATGGAGTGAAGAAGGGTCCATGGGCACCCGAGGAAGATCAGAAGCTCCTTGATCATATCCATTTGCACGGTCCTGGCAATTGGCGTACGCTGCCTAAAAATGCCGGTATATATCTTTTTGTAAATCTGTAGTTTTTTTTTTCAAATTTCGGCGTCCAATTAATTTTCTGTCTGATAAAGGGCTCCAACGATGCGGGAAGAGTTGCCGTCTTCGATGGACCAACTATCTGAGACCCGACATCAAGAGAGGAAGATTCTCTTTCGAAGAAGAAGAAACTATAATCCAGCTGCACAGTATACTAGGAAACAGGTAATTAAGCCAATATATTCCATCCGTTTTTTTTATTAATTATAATGCATGCAAATGACGTACGTATATCAATTGTTAGGTCATCCACTCCATAAACTGTATGTATATATATATATATATATCGAGTATAATTCTTGTTCATTTGGGCAGATGGTCAGCCATAGCCGCTCGTCTACCGGGAAGGATCGACAATGAAATAAAAAATTATTGGAACACTCATATCCGTAAGAGATTCATCGGAAGTGGGATCGATCAACCTCATGCCCCGGGCCCTGATCCGTCGAATCTTTTAAACGTTGCTCTCAACCCATCAAACTTGTTAGGGACACAAGCAATTCTTTTGTATCATGAAATCCTGAGGTTGGCCTTGTCCCCTCAGGATCATATCCACAATGTTCTGAAGAACAATAACGACGATTTTGTGGGTCAAGTTCCAAACAACAATGGCATCGAATCTTGCATGAATGCAATAATTGGTAACGGTCAAGACTTGCCGTTTTTGCCGGAGAGCTTCGACCAGGATAATCTCGGACGACCCGCTACGGAGGATGATCAAGAAAGAAACGGCGGCGGCTTCTTGAAACTCGAAATTCCCGAGGGTTTTGATTTTGATGATTTTATGTAGATTTGTTGTCCAAATAATTATTGTGTCATTCTCCCCTTTGAAAGTTTTCCGATTCTTGACGCATGCATTATATTCGTTGTTGCATATATAACATGTGTAATTTTCTTTCATTTATATTTCCAAACATGATTGGTTCGTGGATAGCCGATTATCTTAGACTTTATACTAATCTCGAGATCATAAATCAACCATATAATTTAGTAGGTACATCTTTTTTTAAAATCCGAGGTTGAACTCGGAACGAAACAGATAATTTGCATTTTCGTTCCACCGATTAAATTATCCAAATTTGGATCTAAAGATTATATTGTTATTGACACGGGGAAATGTATAACTTTGTACTTTGCAGAAAAGACTATTGAAGAGGAACAATACTAAAGATTGAGTTTGTCGTCTTAAAATACTTCTAATAAACAAAATTTGGAAAGAAAAAAACTCATGCTATTACTTTTTATTTTTACTTGTACAAAACTCATTAACACGTGATGGCACAAAGTCAATGTACATAAAATACATTTGAATCAATTACATTTACACCAAGTTACATGTATTGGTATCTATATAACAAATAATAATCTAAATGTTAATGAGCATTTACATATGCACACGTTGATCATACATACACACGACCGGTTCATTTAGATATAGACGTAAACAATCTCTTTCATATATCCATTTATATTTTGATAAAAATAAATGATTCATATAATGAATTTTGAGTTTTTTTATTCAATGGTAATTAAAAACAGTGTTGGTACCTTTTGTCGTGTTTCCTTTTTCATCTATTATATTATTATCTTGTGTTTAGTCATGTCTCATGTGGTAAGATCTCAGTTTGCTTCTGGAAGCCTAATTCCTTCGGATTTTTTTTTCCCCCATTAGTCATTAACGAGGGCTAATGACATTGGATTTTATTACGGAGATAACGAGATCGTAGAGGCCACTCTCTCCAATATTAACGCTGGGCTTTACCGCCGCAGCCCTAGCCTTCGTGTAGATCGATCGAGTTGCGGTCGAATATGGCGTCTCAGGTTCTCCCCGTTGCTCCTCGTCTTCCTCCTAATTTGGTCCTTTTTCATGGACAATTTCCATCTTCTCGTTGCAGGTTTTGGTGGAGGAGAAGCCATCTGTTAGGATTCTCACACTCAACAGACCCAAGCAGCTGAATGCCCTTTCCTTTCCCATGGTAAATCACCTCCACTCTCCCCCCCTTTTATCATCCATGGCGATGTGTTTCGATCTCAATTCTCGCCTCGCTGCTTCTGTTTCTCCTAGATTTCTCGCTTGCTGGAATTGTTCATCGCCTACGAGGACGACCCTACCGTCAAACTCGTCATCCTCAAGGTATTATCATTTTCGCCCCGAAAACCGCCAACTGGTTTCAGTAATTTGGTTTATGATCCATATTTGTCCGCCTGTAGGGACAAGGAAGAGCGATGTTGCAGCTGTTGTTCATGATATTCGTCGCGGTATGTTTGTTTACTTTTCTCATCATCACCTTTCTTCCCTTCCGATTTCAGCTATGGAGTTCTTCTCTCCGGCAAGTTACCGACTTCGTCTTCTACTAGGTCACTGGAGGCTGGGTGCCCATTTCTTTTCCAAGGAATTCGTACTGAATTATGTTATGGCAACATATAGCAAACCTCAGGTTAGCATGTTGTTCTTATCCTGGTGACAGTTAGGTCCTGTTACTTGAAAAGTTTAAAACTGTATTGGCTTCTCTACTTATTGTGAATTGCAGGTTTCGTTTTTGAATGGTATTGTCATGGGTGGTGGGGCTGGTGTCTCCGTACATGGTAGATTCCGTATCGCAACTGAGAATACGGTATCGTCTCCAACCTGCCAAGCTTAAACCTTCCAGTATCATTTCTGTTGTATTGTAGTGTAAGTATGTTCTTTGATCTATGATTTTTATTTTATCATACCATATTTTTATATTTGGATTTTGTTCTTTCCAGGTTTTTGCTATGCCAGAAACATCTCTAGGGCTCTTTCCAGATATAGGTGCCTCGTACTTCTTGTCAAGGCTCCCTGGATTTTTTGGTAACGGAAGTTTCAGTTTTGCATCTTGTTTAAGCCACTGGATGGATGGAAGATTATCTTGATTTCTCGTTTTTTCTTACTATTTGGGTGGATATTTTCTTTTCTTCTCTTGCTGTCTTGTATAGGAGAGTATCTTGGCCTCACAGGGGCAAGGATAGATGGCGCCGAAATGCTTGCTTGTGGCCTTGCCACTCATTTTGTCCTTTCGACGGTATGCTTTTCCTCTGGCCTATGTGATGAGCAGAAGTACTTGCTGGTATAGTAATCATAGTAGATGAGGATCAGTGGGGCCTTTCGCTTGATTAAAACGAGAATGTTTTTTTATGTGAGAACTACAGAACTATCATGGATACAGAGTTTGTGTGGGTTTTTAGTGAAACCTGTACCAATTAGCTTAGGGATGCTCGAGGAGCAAACTAATACACTGTTTGATATTTTTCTGATATGTATGACTTTCATACCAGGAAGGTTCAATATGTTTCCCGACGTCTCTTCTACTATTCGGTTATATTTCTGCTGAGTTGTTATGTGCCATGTGAGTACTGCTTGACAGTTTGTGTTGACTAACTCATAAGAGCCCAAGACTGAATTCGTTGATATGTAAATTTTGTTAATTTGCTTATTTCCTTTCAGCATTCAGAATAGGTTTTAAACTTGCAATTCATTTAACTGCTACTGGATAAGGATATTGTTTCTTACATAAGACTTTCCTCATAGAGCTTGACTGCATTAGAAGAAGATCTGTTCAGGGCCGGTACTGGTGATACGGCCTCCATTTCAACAATTATCGATGCATACTCCCAGCAACCTCGTTTGAAAGAGCAGAGTGCTTATCACCGGTAAGTCTTGATGATACATTGACAGTCTCTTTTATTTTGTGTTACTTACCCGGAGTTTGTAGAAGGTGTCTTTTCATGTCTCTCAAAATTCCACGGATTCTAGGCCATGTGATGGTGTTTTACTTATTAGATGGAGTTTGTAGAAGGTTGCCAGATTTTTGCTTTTGATCTTTAACAGGTTGGATGTCATCAACAAGTGCTTCTCGAGGAGGACAGTTGAAGAGATTATATTTGCTCTTGTATGTCTCTCTCTCTCTCTCTCTTTGCATGAACTAGAAATACATAAATGATATGTTCCTCAGTTGAGTGACTTACTTTTGATGGGCGCTTCTCTTATAGTGGCTAGCAATTTAATAGGTTGGTTAATTTAGGCGTGATATGTGCTTCATAGGAAAGGGAGGTCGCTCATCAAGCGGACGATTGGGTCTCGGCCACAATTCAGGCATTGAAGAAGGCTTCCCCAGCAAGCCTTAAAATCTCTCTTAGATCGGTGAGGATCTCACACATTCATCTGATACACCTTCCTACTGTTTTTGTCTTTTGAGATTGGGAGAATCATCTCCTCTTGGCCATGGTTGTGAATAATTACCATGATTCCAATGGCTTCGTCTCTTCTCAATGGAAGAGTCTAGTTGTTCATTGTTTTAAATTCCGGATTCAAAGACGTCTTTAATTGGGGATGTTTCATGGTAAATTACTTGCTTTCACTTGCTTGTTGAATCAAAGCTCTGACGATGTGTATAATTTACAGATAAGAGAAGGACGACTGCAGGGGGTTGGGCAATGCCTTATCCGCGAGTTTAGAATGGTTTGTCATGTGATGAAGGGAGATATAAGCAAGGATTTTCTCGAGGTTTCTGCCAGGATTCTCGAAACATAAAAAACTTCCTGTGGAACTGTTCTTCTGGTTTTAACTGTTGTTATCGAACAAACTGTCTTATCATGCAGGGGTGCAGAGCTATATTGATAGACAAGGATAAGAACCCCAAGGTACAGGTTCTCTTTGTGGTAATGTTGCAATGTAGGGTAATGATTCCTGTTTTATATATGCTGGGGGATTTATGTGCAGTGGGAGCCGTCGAGACTGGAGGGCATGGGGGAGAGCATGGTGGAGGAGTACTTCGAGAGAGTGGAGGAGGAAGGATGGGAGGATCTGAAGCTTCCTGCTCGTCGTAACTTGACTGCTTCGGCCGTGGCAAAGCTTTGAGAAAGGTGTCTGCTTGATGGGTAAGAAGTCGATGGAAGACATGAACGGTGACTGAGAGTGAATTGGCATATAGACTATGAATGTTAAAAGGTCATGAATTGGCATATGAACTGTGAATAACACCAAATCATTGATAAGTTTACTTAAAAACACACGATTTGTTGCGAAATATGTGATGTCTCTCGGTACAACCTTATTTACCACATGAACATTTAAAACTTCCTTTTAAAATTTTCGTATCAAACCTATGAACAAGCATCGTTTTAGGATTTTAATTTCAAAAGATTAGACTCAAAAGGATTAGGGCAAAGGTTTTGGCCCATCATTAGACAAATTAAATGTTCGGCTTGCCTCGTGTGCAATACGTTCCAGGGTACCCTACGTAATATAATCCCAAGACAGACGAACTGACCTCGACAAAGATCTTTGAATGGAACATCAAAACATACGTTTCAGCTTTTCACATTTTTCCGACAGCAGATGCTATGCTTTTGGAAACATCGGATCAGCCGCCGCCACCTTGTTTGCTCCTTGTTCCGTTTTCACACTTGCTTCCTCCATTCCTGCCGGGGGGCTCACTTCCGTCACCTGCAAAGTCACTACCCATTCATTAGCCCTCTCACCACTTTTATGCAACAATAATCTCATTGTTTTCTTTCAGATTGATTGAACTTTTATTACCACATTGGTGCTTCCACTCTCATCCATGGTTGTCTCTAAACCTTTGCCACGCTCATTCACTCCTCTCTGTCCATCCTACGCACCAATTTCCCATGGAGAGCAATACCACTTTTTCACTTAGATGAACAGATGCAAAACATGTAGAATTCTTCTTCTGATGGACATATTTTAGTGTTGTAGGCAACCAAAGAGAGATAAGAGAGGAGGATCACATGGTACCTGGTCCTTTCTGTCCGGTTCAACCACTTCTCGTTTTACTCTGCTCGGTATAGGTTTGCTGCACGATGGCAAATCAGGCGAGCAATCTTGACACGGAAAAGCAAAACAAAAAAAGTAATGATAGGTTCCATCCATACCGGTCATCATCAACATCCATATCTGAATCTGGATCCCATCTCTCATCTCCATCTTCTTGATCTTCGTCTCCCTGTGACTCGCAATAGGAAGTATATGTTGTAACGCTAGGAGTATGCGGAAGAAAGAAACTTTTACTAGAGAACAATTATACAAACGAGAAACAAAATTCTACTCGTAAAACCATTCTAGACAAGGAATTCTAGCTGTAAAATTTTCAGTCTAAATAGGTTATAGTAACATAAATCAACTCTATCAAATACCAGAAGTAGGAATGCACGGAAGAGTGAAAATCGAAATTAGACAGAGGAACACAACTCAAATCGCATTCCTCAACATACCTCTGGAACCTCTGTTTCTGGTGGCCTTTCCTGAAATTGTACACTCGGTGCATGCTGAAGCGTAGAGAGATTTTCTAAAAGGTCATTACGGATCTCTTCAAGCATCTGGCGGGAATTCTTATTTTCCATGTTACTTGGGGCAACATGAAGAGTGTAGTCCGGACCAAAATATTCATAATATTCATGCTCTGGCATCTTGTCATCAACTTCAACTCCAAGTGCAACCCCTGTCTGTATCACATATAAACATCTTCTCACGATTAATTCCTAAGACAACAAAGCAGCAAAAGTCCTAAAGCTGTTTGAGTGAGAGAGATAGAGAGAGGGCTACTCTCTTTCTGTCTCACTACAAAGACCAAGATTGTTTCTGAAAAACTATTACTTGAAATACTAAACAGATAAAGGTACCTCATAACACCAGCAGCGGGCCACATTTCGGATGGTATAACCACCACCACCCAAGAGCAGCAGGGGAACGTTGAAAGATCTCATAAATTTGACGCATTCTGCGTGACCTTTGATTGAAAGATTAAAGCATCCCAACCTATCACCAGATAATGAATCAGCGCCGCATTGCAGAACCACAGCGCCTGGTCGGAAAACTTCCATCACCTTTCCCATGATTGGTTTGAACAAATGATGGTAGCTCTCGTCATCAATACCATCATCCAGTGGGACATTGAGCGAGTAGAACTTTCCTTTCCCATAACCTATATCCTTTATATGACCTGTACCAGGAAAGTAATCCCCAAATTTATGAAACGAGACCGTCATGACCCTGTCAGTAGTATAAAATGCTTCCTCAACTCCATCTCCGTGATGAATATCAATGTCAACATATAGAACACGCTGCAAACAAAATGAGGAAAAAATATAAGTTCCAGGAGCCATGAATAAAAGTGCATACATACATTCCCGAATGAGAACACTTGCCATGACCTAGTAGTTCTAAGCTAGTTAAGTCAGAAGGTTTCAAAAAAATGGCAACAAGACAAACCTCATGCTGCTTAAGGAGCTCCAGGATAGCAAGGACGATATCATTGACATAGCAGAAGCCGGAGGCCTCACACTTTTTAGCATGATGAAGACCACCCGCCCAATTAATGGCAATATCGCAGAGGCCGTGGTTAAGCTTGACAGCTCCACCGACAGAGCCACCAGCATAGGTCTGGCAAAAAGAGTAAAGACCATCAAAGACAGGACAATCCTCACCGACGTTGAAGCGTTTGAGTTGGCGGATCTGATCTTGCTGAGTTTCGGGGGTGATACTACGAAGAAAGGAGACATAATCGTCGGCGTGGAAGCGGCAGAGGTCACGATCACGGGCAGGAAAGGGCTTGAGAACCTGCATATGCTGAAGGAGGCCGTAATGGGCGAGAAGGGCGTGGGTCATGCGGATGCGGTGGGGCTTCATGGGGTGACCCTGGCCATAGTAGTAATTGCCGACCTCGGGGTCGTAAAAGTAACAGACTTTCCTCTTTACACCATCAGGGCCTGACGGCAGCGAATTGCCACCAGTCTCCATTCTTCCTGTATACATATGGGTCCGACAGATCAACAAAGAACCAGGCCATATACAAACAAACAAGCAAAAACCCTAAGACAAAACAAAGGGAAGGCGAGGAGCAACCGTATCAGCTACACAACAACTCTACCACTAATTGTTTCGAAGCAACGGAAAGTGAATTTGTTTGAAAATCGAAAGCAACAGCGTAAGCACCAGAGACCGAGGAAAGGATCCAAAGCCTAACGGCGGAGAAGAAGACAAACTACAAACGACCATATAGCAACTGGCATAAACACAGATTCGTACCGCTTGATGGCCTTCAGTGCAGAACTCTAAGGTAGGGTTAACTTGTGTTGTGTGTGTGTCTCTCTAGAGAAGTTTGGCGATGTCGGAATCTTGTTTCTCCCACAGGGCTTCGCCCCCTGGTTTTTTAATTTTCAAGCGGAGACGGAAGCGCAGTATATGTCCTCTCTAGAGTAATATCGGCTCTCTCTCCAGTTTCATCTCGATTGGGCCTTTTTGTGAAACCCAAACAACGCCTGCACAGATCCATTCAGGCCCACTGCGTTGCCAGACGCTGAAATCATTCTTCTCCTTTTTTATTTTATTTCAATTCTCCGACTCGTACGAGATTCCAAATTTGGGACACATTCATACTTATTTATATATATTATAAAGTTTTATTCACCAGGGCGTGACACGTGTATCATTTTAAAAGTACAGTTCTATTCACCAGGGCGTGACACGTGTATCATTTTGAGTTTAAAATGATTTTTCAAATCACTCTCTACACATTAATATAACACACGTGTTTCGAAACTTTTTTAAAAAAATTCTCTTAATACATGATTAATTTCATTCCAACTACAAGAAAAAAATGATGCATCGAATGTGTGTGTATATAATACATTGACTAATTTTTTTTTGCATACATACATTGATACATAGCGTTATATTAATTTCATTGTATTTAAAAAATGCAGAAATGCTCTCCGTCTTCTAACCTTTTCACTAATCTTACATTATGTGTATTTAATATAAAAAAAAGTAATTAATGCGGCAAAGACCAAATATTATTTTATAATTATAGTATAAATTTTATTAATATATTTATTTAGTATTTAATGAGGCAAGATTCAAGGAACAAACCAAATCCAATGTATGTAGATTAATTAAGGTATGAAGTCCGAGACGATGTATGAAGGTTGGGAGGCACAAATATGTGTACGTATTTGAGTAAAAATATGTTTACTCATTTGGCAGAATGGAAGCTTATGTGAAGTTGGATATTGGATGAAGCAAAAGAGAAAATCTGTCACTTCTTTGGAAGCCTCTGTTTCTTAGAGATGATTGAATTTGTCTTACGGAATCCTATGGATATTGGAGTTTTCCATTTTTTTTTTTCCTTTTTCAATTTGGTTGGAAATAGAATATCTACAAAGCCCATCAGGATTCCTGATATGTGATGTTTTATGGTGTATGTAAAATTATGTCTTGATTGGAATGATCAAGGTCACTTTTGAATTGCTTTTTATTTCATGGATGCTCTTTCTCTTCTATTAAAAAAAAAAATGTTTACGTTGAGTGGTTTGATTTTGTTCTCATAGTAGACAATATGTCTCAGATTTTGCATTCCTTCTGTTTCAGTTTGATTAATCGTGAGAGAGCATTGGATTCTCAGTCAGGTTTTATAATATTTGGTGGAATACTTCCATCAGAAAGCATCATTCATTACATCTTGAAAATAGTTACTCGAAATCATATGTCTCTCTTTCTGCAACTTTTCAACAGGGTGTAAGGCAGAAAAATTATCCTTCTATAATGAACTATCTAACCATGTATCACACAATTATAGTGTATGACTTTGTCTTTTTCTTTTTATCATAAATTGTTAAAAAAAAATAGAAATATAAAACAATATGATTATGATATTATATTAAGATAGCTTATTAAATGATTCATGGTCTATCATCTTATGTTTTTTTATCAAAATTAATTAGAATTTAATTTTTAATCATTGTGGATGATGAGTTTCTCTTTCCACTCTATTGAACAAGACTAAATAACCCTCGACCACAATGAGGGAAGGAAAGGGAGAGACCAAAGGTCCGAGCACAAGACTAAACACCACTTTCTCTTCATATCTATACATATGTCTATATCTCTTTTACATAGTTTAATCATGTATTATTATTATTATTGTTGTATTGAGAAAATATTATAATTAGGGAAAATTATTTTGCTCTATTAATTGATTCCAAAAGATCTTTTCACATGTGTTAACCCGACATAAATTGACCAAAAAATACAATTTAGATATAAACAAAAACAAGTGGATTGTGTATGTATTCTCTGCGAAGAGGCTCAAGAAAGTCATTCACACTTATTTTTTGCATGCCCTTATACTTGGACACTTTGGAACTTTTACGCATCCAGGTGCTGGACATCGCCCCTGGAAGATCTGCAGCTTTGCATTTCGTGGTTGAATAGCCAAACAGACAGATCGTGCAACCGCTATCTAATCGTCTGCCTAATCATTCAGGTGTTAGTATACGAAATCTGGAGAGAACGAAACTTGAGAATTTTTGCTGGTACAAGAAGGACATTACAGGAGATGCGCATGTACATCGTCAACATGATTCGTGATATCTTCCTTAACATTATGTTACAGGATTGATATTACCTGTGTGAGAGTTGATTACTAGGGGTTATTATCTGAATATTGTTATGTAGTTAGCTTTTAACTGATTATTGGGCAGAGAATATACAGTCTGAATATTGTTGATCTTGGATGCAGGCATGCTGATTTTGTAAACAATATTTTCGGTTAATATAAGAAATCATATTCATACAAAAAAAACAAATTTCAGCCAATAAATTAAAATGTAATTAACATATTTTTTATTTATATAAAATAATCTATATTCTAAATTTTTGTCAATGATAAGTGATCTAAAATAACTTCATACACAACATTTATAGATAAATTATACTCTCTCCGTTTCAAAATAATTGTTGTTTTAAGTTATTTTCCATGTTTAAAAATATTTGTCATTCTTCATTTTCAAGATATTTTTTTTATAATAGTTTCCAATTTTATCCCTATCAAACTCCAATAAATTATGAATGATAACATTGTTTTTATCCTTAAATAAATTATATTAGATTTCAAGAGTTTGTGATTCAAAGAAAATGTATATCAAGATGTGCAAAATATATATCCTTTATTCGATACAAATATATTATTATATGTTCCGATAAAAATTATATTTGGTTACAAAATTATAGAATCTACCCAAAAATTCTAAAAATTTACTTAATACTCTTATTATTTAGCTACTAATTTTAAGGATTTGATTTTATAAAAACATATTATATTTCTATATCAGAAATCTCGATTACAATTTAAAAAAATTCAGGTCAGAAAAATCGACCCGATTTTAAAGAATCTAAAAAAACTAAATTGTGTAAGAATATGCTAGTGTCTATGGGTTTTGGTTTTGAAACAATACTTATCTTAAAATCCATACTCTAAGTGAAAAATTAAACAAATTAAGTCGTATGAAACGATGACAGATCTGACACGTATGAGGAAACTAAGTCAAATTTTGAATCGCAGAATCAAAGAGGTTAGGAGGATCGTTGAAAAATTAGATAAAACAATTAGGATGATAACAAATTTAATAAAATACATATCGAATTAAATGGAAAAGTCTAACTATGACAGTACTTAGTTTTAAATTTTTAGGGTAAATGTGACCACATCTTAATTTATAAAAAAAATATTGACTTACATGTTAATGAAACAAATAAAAAAGCCACATGATTAGTGTTGTATCTCATGAATTTGGCTGAATTATATAGATATCTATAAAATTTAAATATTGATGAGATTATAAAAATTAGTATTATACCAATATTTTATTGTGAATGTTTATTAAATTCAATAGATTATTATTACATTACTAATATTAATTAAATTTATATTATTGATTTTTCTAAACTTTCAATAATCATATTTTTAAGCCATCACTCGATTAACAAAAAAATAACTTTTAAATAGAGTCATAAAATTTGATAAAATATTAGTATGAAATTCTATATTCTAATCTTTTGGTTTATACTATAAATTGAAAAATTTAAATAATATAAATTATAAATTTTAAAAAAAATATATTATATTTAAATTTAAAAATAATAAGAAATTTTTTTTAAATATATATATATATATTTAGTCCGCGCGATTCGTGCGGGTTAATAACTAGTATATAAAAAAAGAGAGAATAATACAATCATCATCACTATTTCACTATCTCGTATCGGTTTTGTATTAGCAGTATGACCAATGCGCAAGTACATTCCAAGACCACAAACAACAGTAAAACCCAGAAAGAGCCTCACCGTCTCACTTGTTCAAAAGAACAGAATAAACAAACATAGTTCTCTTCTTCCAAGGGCTCACCAGAGGTCAAAATGGACGATAACCATCCTATTCAATTCTCTATTCACCAATTATCGGACCTATACACACACGGAACATGGTGCGTAGAACTTCCGGAACTTGTCCCGAGCTATGCTCACTCCTCACCAGATCCACCAGCAACGGGAACAAACTCGCTGCCTGCCTCTTCAAGCTTTCCCTTTTCAGTCCGCTCATTACCTTCAAGGCCGACACGACTAAGGGCGATCTGGCCGCCGCTTCTTCTTTTGATGCTGCCCCCATCGGTAGAATGCAGTTTGTGGTTCGCTTCGTTTTTTCACACTCTATGGCCAGAGACATTGTGCACCTCAGGTAGATTTCTAGTATTTTCATGCACACTTCCACGAGTTGGGATTCTACATTCAGCTCATCGGACAACTGTGGATTGCATGTCAGCAAATCCCGAAGAACGTCCAGGTAGTTCTGGTACGAGTCATTTTCAAAATGAAGCATGGGCGGTTCAGAGAGCTCAAGGATAGAGCATGCCCTCCTCACTTTCTTCTGCAGTACGATATCAGAGTTCAGCTCCCCTGCATGTGATGCACTTGATGACAGTATTTCGAGTAGCACTCTTATGTGAGATGCCGTCAATGATTCCTGATGGATTCTGTAGAGATCAGTCACAACCTGAAAACATGACAAAAATGTAGAGTTCATTACAAAATTTTGGTAGTAGTGGAAAGGCTGAAAATCTCTGTTCTGATGGAAAAAAAAGGCTATCCTACATTGTGGAATATTCATTGTGAATACATTAACAAAATTAGTTTTACTTGTTGCGGGTTCACCTTTACTCGCTTGATTCAAAACTTGGCCAGTCGCTGCACAATAAAGAGTAGAACTAGTTGCCATACCTGAACAACTTGCAACTGGACGGCAATGTGACCCTTTGTTCTCGAAACAACATAAGACATAGTTTGAAGGTCATCCTCGTCCAGGTCATCGTCATTGCTAATGTCCTGATCAGACAACACATCCTCGTCTGGAATGTCATCTATGGTTCTCAGTATCTTCATGAAACTCGACAATGTCAATGAAGCAGCTTCTTTCAGAGCCATAAAAATCTCCCTCCACTCATCTTCCGAGAAACTGCCACCCAATTCATCTGCCAACCGCAGCAATGCTGCAACACCAGCTACTGTAGGACCTTGGACTGGATTTCTTATAAATCCTGCAAGTAATGATACCACACTTGACAGCTGAGACCTTATCACGTTAAAAAATCTGACGAATATGTCCACTAGAGATTGTGCTGCCAGAGCCGAAGTCTCAGCATCCCATGGAACTCCTTCAGAATGGGGAGATAAAGCTGAGAGCGAATCGTGTTCATCTTTAGAAAGCATGTCGTTCTTGCCCCATGTACTATTAAATATTGGATAAATAACGGAACTGAAAACACCAATCCAGAACGTGCGAGAGAAAAGATGACCATGATCCTTTAGAATGTCAAAGAGAACTTCCAAGGAACTCTTTCGAATTGTCGATCTTGGATCAGATGTTACTTTAGATAATCCTGAAACAAAAATTAAAAGAAGTTTCTTAAGAATGCAGGAACTTGTCTCTTTTCCAAAAATAAAATTTCTCACCAACTAATTTTCAACAAAACAATGTCCCCATTAAATTGGGCGACCAATCTACAGAACATACTAGCATTAATTCATAAATGTATCTCAATATTGAGGCATTACTTGGAATAAGTTACCTGTGAGTAACGGAACCCAATACGATATGTTCTCATCTGCATCTGTAAAACTCTTGATACTGTCGTCTGTCACAGGAGTGCTGGAACCACTCAACCTGCTTTTCTCATTCCAAATAAGTCCCCCGTCTGCAAGTTTTAGAGCACAAAACCGTAGAAATGCTATTGCATTTAAGCTAACATCGCTGGTAAACCTGCTATTTGTGAAAGTTATAAGGCATTTAACACAGTGGGTAAAAGTTGTTGTCTCTGTCTCAGTGATATAAGAAAAATATTCTCGAACGATTTTTTCCATAGTCTCAAAGGCCAACAGAACGATATTCTTCCTCTCATCAGCTGCAGCAGTAGTGAAAACCTGAAAAGGTACTGGCCCATCAGTAAAACATGCTGATTGATACAAGCATGACTACAGAAACAACTACTACATGAACAGATAATTTAATCAGCACAAAATCTCGGTTCAACTGCTGTTACCATAACAAAATTTAGCAGGACATCTAATCATTTAAAGCATAGCAAATGCTGGTTATTTCTCATCATATTCCTATCGCAAAGTTGCTATCAGGTGTGAACCCAAACTTCTGTATTTCTGGATATTGTGCTCACTTGAAAGTTTATTGAGCTTCCTACAAGCTCATCCTAGGATGCTAGATTAAGACACTTTGGGTAAAAGAACCATACATTTGAAGGTTGAATCTCTCACTTCATAGTTTAATTCATATATAGCAGACAATGGATTAGAAGCACATAGCCAATCGGGAAAACTAATAGCTGGGGCGAAGAGAACAAGAAACTATGTTAGTCAAAACAAAAATTTAACATACCTTGAAAACACTTTTCCACCCTGATTTCACATTACTGACACGGCTAAGTACCATTTGAGAAATGCACCGAACTATTAATTCCCTAATTTCTGCAGAACTGCTTTTCTGTATAACAATGACAAATGGGCGGAGGAATTCATTCTGGAAGTTATAATTTGCCAGCTCCTCACGCTCTAAAAACTTCATAGAAAGTTGTCGCAGTGAGTCCATGACGAATATTGCAACTGACAGATTCTCTGACAAGCCAACTGATACAAAAAAATCTGACAGGATACTCCACATCCTTGACCAGACTAGCCTGATGCGGTTCATATTGTAGTGACTGTAACAGTAGAAAGAAGGAAACTATATTAGAAGTCAACATCTTAAGAAACTCTCATGGAGCTTATTCCATATTCAGTTTAGAAGGAAAAATTAGAAGTAACTTGTGTGTTCTAATGAATAAGTTTCAATGAAAAGAATCTTACGCAATCTCAACTAATTTTGTGAGGCTAAATACTCGAGGATCTGTAGGAGACTGCAATTCTGACATTGAGACTTTGCATAATGCTTTCACGAATGCTACTATAGCTTCACTGTTCAACCTCTGGCTATGAGCATAGACATGGTTCAACTGAAAGCTTCCAATCTGGTCAAGTAAATTCAAGTTTGCAATAAAGTTAGTGATTTGTTCCTGAGTCACAAGTGCCAGCGCATTTGGTCCAATTGTACTGCTGTCGTACGAACCCCCTCGGACAACAGCCATCACAACTGGATTCTGGAGGGCACCTTTTTTCTTTAAGTTTGGAAAACCCAAAGCCTTCTTCTCCTCCGATTCAGCATTGGATGTGGCTAAATAAGTTGCATCACTCGGAGCACCCTCGCCCAATAATTGGAGATGCTCGATTCTTGAAAGGCAAGTCAGAATATGCTCCCAAGCATCTTGTAAGTGATTACCATCTTCAATGGCAATAGCGATAATAGCCTGAAAACAAAAGCTATTAATGACAATAGTGCACAGAGGCAAACTGGCCAAATTGCTGGTCCTGATGTCAATCAAGGACTATGAAAAGCTCTACAACAGCATAATAAAAGCAGAAAGCTGTATCAGGGGAAAAGAAAAAAAACTGAATGCATGCTATGCTTGTGCAATGGCTCAGAAACATAGATCTGACGAAAGAAACAAAAATGGAGCAGCAGTTCCCTTCTAGGCGGTTATTTCAACAAAAAGACGCTTACTTTTACAGCATCCACATTCTTTTGCTTCATATCTGCTGCACAGTGGAGATTTGTAAACTTGGCCATAGAAGTGACAAATGCATCTCGTTGGGTTTGCATACCCATGACTGCAGTAACATGCACAGCATAGCGGAAGCCCCGAAGGCATTCAGCAGTGGCAAGCCTGTCATCACTCTGATCAAGTGTGACGCTAAATGCAGCTAACATTGGTCCCCAGGAAGCTTCAACCATAAAACGCAATATCGCAACATCAGTCACAGCATGGTAAGCTGACCTACAAGACCAAGAAAAAAGAATCCAGGTCATAAGAATATTACTTGAAGCAACTCATTGCATGCAAGAACAAGTTATTATTCCCCACCAGGAAGACACACTAAAATGAAAGACAAATGAACTTACTCTGATTTTCCTGACTTGGACGTGAACTGTTCCTGGATATGCTTTATAAGAAGACCATTAGCACCTACTGCTTTTTCTTCTGTCTGTTTCCAAGAAACCAGATTGAGTATACCATCCAGACCTAGTAGTTTATTCAGGCTATTGGCTTGCCTGCTTTGAGGAGCAATAGAATCAGAGCTCATCTTAATTTCGTTTTTGACAATGTGATCATAAAGGACACCCAGATATTCTACAGGCAGATCCTTGCCGTCGTCAATTCCTCGGTTATTTCTGATAAAATCAGCTTTGGTCATCTGAAAACCAAAAAACAGGGAAACATGCAATGCAAGCAATAATAGGTTACAATAAATATCTTCTTATAAAGCAATATCCAAAACATTTCCAGTATTTTCATGGAAAATTTTCTGAGCGCAGAGGTAACCACAATTTCAACACTTGCAATCCAAAAGGTAATTGACCACGGAAGGAAGAAATTGTAACAACCAGAAACACACCTTCTCTTTTACCATACTATTGTGGGCATCAGTGTTCAGCATTATCACAGAGTAGGCAAGAACATATGCTGTATCAGCACTGCTAAATGAATTTGGATCGCATTTGCAAAAGCGTTCAGCAAACTTTTCCATTATGCGGTCGATTTTCTGTGCTTCCCCGGGAAGCCTGAAGCCCCTTAGGAAAAACCTAATTGCTTCACCAAAACCCATGCCCTTGAAATCAAATGAGTCCACATAGGCATGCATAACTTTCATTGGAAGCTCCTCTCTTTCACCCAAATAATCACCAATCATGGTTGCATTCAAGCCTGCTGTATTTCTCAGGAAGAATGCTATCTCCCCCGGGGAGCTGCCGACTTTTTTAGAGCTTATTAGAAACTCAATACCCTTCGCAGGCTTTCTATTGAATAGAGAGATGCCTTTCTGCATTATGATGTAAGTCAAATGAAAATAAGTTTACCATATAGGATAAAGAAACAATTAGCTTAGTGCTTCTAAAGAAGTAATATAAGACCTGAAGTTCAATCTTGTATGCCCTTCTTTGCTCGAGGGTTGATGCATCTGATGACTCTGACATCAAGTCTGGGTGAAAGTCATGATCCACTGTAGCTCCTTCATCTCCATTTGCATTTGAATGGCTGTCTGCTGATGCTTCATTTTCAGCACTCTTAGGCAGAAGTGATTCTCCCATGCTCAATTGTTGGTCCATCCATGTTCCCATTACCTTGACAATGCTAACCAAGCACTTCACAGATTCATGCCGAAAAGTGATATCCTGGACAGGGGACAAGGTCGTTGATGAACCAGGTGGTGGCCCTAGAGCGGTCTTTAGAAGACCGTTGACAATCCTGCAAATATCTGATGGAATTATAGCAGCTTTAATACGTTTTATTAAAACACAAGGCACTAGTGGAAGGTAGAGTTGAAGCATAAGATACACGTCTGATATCTAACAAGTTCAGTTGAGGATTTCACCCATACAGCATTTTTCTTAGTAGTCTAGAAAACAAGAAAAGAATAAAATAGCATGGAGAGATGAAAAAAAGGTCCTAATACCTTTCAAAGATGTTTGGCGACTCCACATCACAGTCGAAGTTCACAAATATATCAACGATTAGCTGTGGATCTGTAGAGATATTGTTGAGTACGTTAAGGACAGTCATTTTCTGCAAGAAACTTGGCTGAAGAACATTTTCAAGGACCCGGAGGATAAGCATTGGGAAGAATATGCCAATTTCTGATTTCAAACCCGATCTGAATTTTGTCAATAAGCTGGCGAAGATAGCACATTGAAGTTGGAAAATAGACATAACAGACAAAGCACTGTTCTTTAGCAGCGATAAGCAAAGATACTGCTTGATAGCATTCAGAAACCTGCATAATTTAAGAAGAATGCTTAGCTCTTGAACTCATGCCCCAGTGAGAGACGGCAGACTAATGCACATCACCTAGGTAAATATAACCTAAGAAATGAAAGAGATAACTTGCCGTTCGTCAGAGCGCCATATAGGGCCACCATTATCGATGATGACTTTGAGGAGTTCCAGAGACAAAGTCTTACCTCTCACGAGAATCTGATCATCAGTATTCTCTTGAGAAGAGAACTTCATAGACAACTTACAGAGATTTTTGAAGAGAAGGAATCCATCTTCCCGAATCTTACTTGTGGCACCATCCTCAGGGCTTGTCCCACTGCGGGATTCTACAGGCATAGCAGAGGGATCTTCATCATCCGGTGGTTCAGGAGCACTATCATGCAAGACGAGCCTGAAATCGGGAGGAGGAGGAGCTGCTTCGCCGGCGGACATGACGTCGTTGATGAAACCTTGGCAAATATGGACGGAGTTGCCTTCGTTGACGTTCTTGTCCGTGATGGCGAGCAAGTCGTTGACGGAAACCGTCTTGACAGAAACATCCAGAGAATTCGCTTCGGATCTGGCGAAGACGATGAGCATGATTTGAGCGAGAACAGATTTAGCGCAGATCTGGTTGGTGCCGCTGAAGCCGCCGAGGTAGACATTGTAGCAAGTCCGGACGAGATTGAGCAAACAGTCGCCGCGGATGAGGACGGAGGAGGATCTGACGGCGGCGAGGAGGACGCGAAGAACGGAGAGCTCGATGGACTCATCGCCAATGGAGCAGACCTTGCAGACGGAGTGGATGAGCTTGAAGAGAAGGGAATCAGGATTCGAGGAATGGATCTCACCGCGGAGGAGGGAGAGAGAGAAGAGCTTGAAGGAGCAGTCGAGAGCAGGCTCGAGAACCTTGGGGTAGGAGGTGTCGAGGGAGACGAGGAGAGGCTGGAGGACGGAATCTGCGTCGGAGGAGGAGAGACCGGAGAGAGGGGAGGAGGGATCGGGAGAGTCGGAGAGAGATTCGAGCTTGTCGAGGACGGATTTGCAGGCGGAGACGAGGAAGGTGTGCTTGCGCCAGGCCGCGTTCTTGATGATCTTGTCCAGCGATGGCCCTATCACGCGCCCGCACCTGGTGGCGCCGCCCAGGCTCTGCGACGACGACATCGACCACCGATCTCTCTATCTAACAGCACATTTTCCTATTCAATTCACAGGGGGGGGGGAGCGACAAATCTATTACGCCCTCGGGAAAGATTGTAACATTGTATTTTACAGTAGTACAGGCATTTCATCAAATATTTTTTATTTTTTTATTTAATATCGAATTGTCTACACTTTAAAAAATAAGTGTGTTTTCCAATCGTAACATGGATATTTAAGTCCCAATTGAGATGAGCCCACAGGTCGTTAATGGGCTCAGAGTGTGAAGATGTGGGCGTAGGGAGGGAAAGCCGAGGATGATGACAGTTAGGGCCGTTGAGGGCAAACCCTATCTCAATCTCACTTGTCACTCCATCAGCCTCAAATTCAGGGATCAGACAGAGCTCCGATGATGTTGGCCACCGGAAGCTGTCTCTCATGGCGGAACTTCAACCTCGGACCTCCATGTCTTCCACTCGCCTCTGTCAAAGCCGTCGTCTCTTCCGGCGTATGGTTTAATCGCAGTAATACTATCTCCCCCCTCTCCTGTTCAGCTCGTACCTCCGTTCCTGACACTGCTCAGATCCAGAGCTCCACTGCCCTAAATCGTAATCTCTCTCTCCCCTTAAATTGCTTGGTCGTTTCCTTGTGATTGATTGATTGATTCTGTACGCATACGGGATCACAGCCTGGTCAGAGTTTGCTGGAAACGTGTCCGGAGAATGGGATGGTTTCGGGGCAGAATTTTCAAGCGAAGGACAGCCAATAGAGCTGCCTGAATCAGTGGTTCCAGAGGCCTACAGAGAATGGGAAGTAAAGGTGTTCGATTGGCAGACACAATGTCCAACTCTTGCTCAACCGCTCGAGCCGCCCACCATGGTTTACAAGTCCATCAAGCTCCTCCCCACCGTCGGATGTGAAGCTGATGCCGCCACCCGTCACAGTATCGACGAGAGGACCATCGGAGGAGGAGGTGCTGATTCTGACAACTGTTTCTCGGCGTCCGCATTTGGGTATTCAGACACTGGCTCATATGTGGCAGTGTGGCCACTTGAGAATGATAATGATAATAACAACAATCTGTTGGAAGTGGAGCATTGTCTGATCAACCCAAATGACAAAGAGTCTCGGGTGAGGATTTATCAGGTCGTCCGATTAGTAGAAACCAGAATGGTGCTGCAGGGCATCAAGGTGTTCCGCGAGCAGTGGGATGGACCGTTCAGAAACGGCGATCAGCTCGGTGGGTGTGCCATTAGAGATACCGGGTTTGCTTCCACACCAACCACACCAGCCTCGGAAGTGGTCGGTGCTTGGACAGGTCTTCACTCTGCTGCTGCCATTGATGCCTTTGATTCAGTGAGTTAGCCGGCCATAACAGCATACCCTGCTCTTTCAACTGTGTAATAGACTGATGAGGTTGTGCTCTTGACTTTCAGAGCTGCAGCATTCAACAAGTCCGAGACAAAAAGGGGATGGAGTCCGTGAGAGATGAAAGAGACATTGTGTTGCTTCCAAAGGGCCTATGGTGTTCGCTCAAAGAAAACAGCGCCAGCGAGACCGTGAGTGCTGTCGGATGGCTGTACGAGCAAGGCCGTGCCGTTACGTCCAGATGCGTCTTCTCCTGTGATTCTAAGCTTAAGGTAATGGGGATTTTCCCCCCATTGGTAACCACCACTCTCCTGGCTTAAACCGTTTCTTCTTTTGGTAAATCACGTCACATTTGCTTTTTTGACAGGAGATATCAATAGGGAA